CCTAATCCCCAGCCCTGAGCCCCTCCCACACCCCTCAGCCCCACCCCATGCATTTTGTAGGGTTACCATATTTCAACACTGAAAAAGGAGGACACTCCACGGGGGCCCCTTCCCCACCCCCATTCCAACCCCTTCCCCAAAGTCCCCACCCCAACTCCGCCCCCTCCCCTGAGCACCCCACATTCCCCCTCCTCCCTCCTGCCCCCCGGCTGCTGCTGCACTGGGGAAGTTGCTTCGGCCCCTGCCACGGTGGAGAGTGGCGGGAGCCGGGAAAGTTGGAGCCCAGGGAGGAGGCGGCTGCGTGCTTGGATGCCGCCCGTCACCTCTGTGCCCCGGCAGATCGGCAGATCACGGGAGTTGTAAGTTTTGCTGCAGCCACTCACACTCGGGGTCCCCTTACCATGCCTCCCTATTTTCCCGGACATGTTCGGCTTTTTGGAAATTCCTCCCGGACGGGGATTTGAGGACTGAAAAGCCGGACATGTCCGGGAAAATCCAGACATATGGTAACCCTAACGCTGGCAATCGCCCCCCTCCATCTCCACAGTAGAATCTGTGCTCCGGGAACTGCTTTTTTGGTGTGTGTTTGTACAGCGCCAGGCACAGTGAGGTCCTGGTCCATGAGTGGGGTTCCTAGGGGCTACCACACTACAGAGAAGAGTTCATCTTCACCAAGATCCTGTTTATTGACCGGGGAGAAATAAGGAAGAGAAAACCAACAGAGAAAACCCCTGATGAAAAGCATTCTCACTCTCATCTCATGGGCAGCACAGAGCCAGGGGTCTCCGTTACCAAGGCTAAAAATGCTACAGCTCTACCATTAGAAGCCAAGCTGGGCCTAGGAGGGGTTAATGATCCCTGCCAAGTGGGGAAGGGGGAAAACTACCCCAACCTGGGTCACTTTGTTGGCCAACTCCAGTGAGGAGGGGATGCCCGGGACCCCTGAGAAGCGGAATGTAACTGCCCTTTACATTTTCCCTTCATAAAGTTTGTGTTTCATTTTTTATTCCGACATCCCGGGCTCTGACCCCTCCATCTTGTCCCCGGCTGTCTGGGTAGGCAGGTGGCTCAGTGTCCCTGGAAAAAAACCCTCCATGTTAAATTCCTATTCCACCATCCAATGCCCAAACCCTCGATCTAGCCCCTCCCAAAAATCTTCCCTTCACTCAGGCTCCTCTTTAATCTGCAGGGGGGGCGCGGGCTCCTCTTTAATTTCCTGTGGCAGCTCCAGCTGCTCCTGTTTAACCCGATAGGGCCCATCTTGAATATGCTGAGGCGGCTCCGGTTCCTCCTTCACCTGCAGGGGTGTCCCCGGCTCCTCCTTCACGCGGGGGGGCATCTCACAATCCCACGTCCCCGGCGGGAGCACCACCACCACCTCCTCGGGCTCAGTGCCGCCCTCCCCCTGCTGAACAAAGGGGTCTTTGTAGAACCGCGTCCCCACGGCCTCGTGAGAGCTGCCACTCTCCTTGGCATGAGTCCGCTGGTGCTTGGCGAGAGCCGACCGCTGGCTGAAGCTCTTGCCACAATGGGTGCAGGAGAAGGGCCTCTCCTGCGTGTGGATCCTGGTGTGCTGGACCAGTGTGGAGCTCTGCTTGAAGCCCTTCCCACACTGGCTGCAGCGGAAGGGCCGTTCGCCGGTGTGGGTCCGGTGGTGCCGCTTGAGGGCCGACATGCCGCTGAAGTTCCGCCCGCACTGGGCGCAGCCATAGGGCGACTCCCCCGTGTGGGTGCGGCGGTGTTGGGTCAGCGCCGAGCTCTGGCTGAAGCCCTTCCCGCACTGGCCGCACTTGTAGGGCCGCTCGCCGGTGTGCAGCCGCCGGTGGGTGGTCAGCACCGAGCGCTGGCTGAAGCTGCGCCCGCACTCCTCGCAGCGGTAGGGCGTCTCGCCGGTGTGGATCCGGCGGTGCTGCACCAGAGCGGAGCTGGCGATGAAGCTCTTGGGACAGTCGGGGCACTGGTGAGGCTTCTCTCCGGTGTGGGACCGCTGGTGCTGCAGCAGCGAGTGCCGCTTGGTGAAGCTCTTCCCGCAGACGTCGCAGACATTGGGCCGCTCCCCGGAGTGGCCGCGCACGTGGTCGTTGAAGGTGGCGCGGCGCATGAAGCTCTCCCCGCACTGGGGGCAGACGTGGGGCTTCTCCCCAGTGTGCACCCGCCGGTGCTCCGTCAGTGACGAGCCGCGCCGGAAGCTCTTCCCGCACTCGGGGCACTTGTGGGCCCGCTCCCCGGAATGCGCCACCAGATGTGCCACCAGGGCGGCGATCTCCCCGAAGCGCCGGCCGCACTCCGTGCACTTGTAGGGCAGCTCCCCGGTGTGGCCGCTCTGGTGCCGCAGCAGGTTGGTGCGGGTGCTGTAGGCCGCCCCGCAGTGAGCACAGACGTAGGGCTTTAACCCGGCGTGGACGCGGCTGTGGCAGGTCAGGTGGCCTTTCTGCCGGAAGCTCTTCCCGCACTCGGCGCACTGGAAGGGCCTGGCGCCGGTGTGGATGTGCTGGTGTTTGCTGAGGGTGGAGTGGAAGGCGAAGCTCCTCCCGCAGTCAGGGCAGCTGTAAGGTTTCTCTCCTGTGTGGACCCGCTGGTGCTTGAAGAGGTCATAGTTCTTCACAAAGCTCTTCCCGCAATCGCCACAGATGACACGGCCCACCCGCCTGTGCCGTGCCTGGGGTGCAGATTTAGCCTGGGCCTTCCCCTGTCCCAGCCCTGCCCCACTCTGGCTCTCGACGGTCTCTCCCTGCTCGAGGCTCTGGGACGTCCCGTGTGGCTTCGCTCCCATAGGCCCTTCCCGCTGGTGATTTTCCTCTTCGTTCTCACTCATCGTCCCGGCACCTGCTGGGAGACAGAGAGAGAGAGACTCCAGCTGGGGCTTGTTCCCTGCGCCAGGTAGAGAGGGGGCAGCAAAGGGGTTTGTCACTGAGCAGAAAACCTGATGGGCAGGAAGTGAATCCCTCAAACCCTTCCCTGAGGGCAGCGGAGAGGAGGTTCTGCCTCAACAGCCCAGCTGAGTCCTCAGAGAAAGGCTGGGGGAGGGGAGGGCTCCTGCCGGAGTCAGGCAGAGCAGATGGGATCCAGACGTGACACCTGCCATGAGGACAGGGCACCTGCTGGGACGATACTGAGTGAGAGGAGACAGAACTGGGGGGCTTCCTGGGGCTTTGCTGGGATCCCAGCTTTTCCCTTCACTCCCGGACGGTCTCTGAGCCAGTGTCACTCATTCCTCACCTGTGCGGGCACCTCTCAGGATCTCCTTTTTCTCGGCGCTCTGGAGATCCGGGACCCTCGGCTCTTCCCCTCGCTCCATCCGGGAGGTCATGGCCGGGTCAGGGACGGGGAATCCTGCTGACAGGGAAGGAAACAGGCAAGATGGCGCTTGGTGAAATCTCCCATGGGGGCTTGATACAGGGAACGCTCCCAGAATTTAACCTTGACCATGTTCTCTGCTGGGAGAAACAGTATCCAAGAGGGGGAAAGTTCATGGGGACCCCATTGGAGCAGTGAGATGCCAGTGGGGAAGAGATGGGCTGCTCCCCTATAAGGGAGTCAAGGATGCACACACAAAGAGGCTGGCGGGGCTCAAGCAAATGGAAACTATTAAGCCATCTTAAAACTTGCTAATTGACTCGAGTGATGACCCCAGAGCAGTTGCCCTGGGCAGTTCAGTGCGCACATGCACCCCCAGCTCCTAATCCTCGAGGAGAAGTAACTCCTCACCCAGCAAAGTCAGAGTCTCATAATGTTTGTGGAAGTTGCTCCGTAGAGCTGCCTCTGCCCTTCGTCCAGGTCACCCCACTCTTCCTTGCGGAAGCACACGGCCACCTCCTTGAACGTCACCGGCACCTGGAACCACAAGGGACCCCCATCAGAACCTACTGCACCAATTCCCTTCCCTCCAGAAAATCAGTGCATGAGCCACAAGAGGCAGCACAGAAAGTTTGTGGCAAAACCCCAAGAGGGCAAGGACGCAGCGAGAGGTTTCCTTGGTGTGGGTTTTGGAAGAGAGAGATTACAAAGGCGTGGTCTGGGGCAGGAAAGGAAGAGAAGGGATATGCTTCTACAACAGAGTCAAAAAGAGCCATATATTGAAGCCAGAAGGGACTGTTCTGATCATATCATCCAACCTCCTGTATAACTCAGGTGAGAGGATTTCACTCAGCAATTCCCGTATCCAGCCCAATAACTTGTGGTTGAACTAGACTAGAGCATACATTTTAGAAGGAGGTCCCATCTGGATTTCAAGACTCCGTCCTTTGAGAAGCAGGTTAATCACGCTCCCTGTTTAAAATGTGCACCTTACTTCCAGGCTGAAGTAATCTAGCTTCCACTTCAGGCCTTTGGATCTTGCTCCTACTTTGTCTACTAGGTTAACAGAATCCTCTGCCCTCAAGAATCTCCTCCCCACAAAGGTGGTTATAGACTGTGATCGCGTTACCTTTTCCCCTTCTCTTCAGTGAGCTAAATCAGTCTTGTTAGAGAGCCAGGGCTGCTCTGTGGGAACATGGTGGACTACAGAGACCTTTCCAACATGTGGAAGTGGGAGTGAAACCTGAGAGGAAGTGGTGAGAGACTCCCGTGCACCCTGTATCTCTCTAAATCCTATGGCCCTTGCTAACCGGCTCCTGGTACCAAACCTGCCCTCTAAGCGAGGTGGATAAAGAAATAGACAACTCCAGCTACACCTTCTGGACCCTTCCCAGTCATGGAGATCATGTTGGCCTGGCAAACGGAGAGATTTTGAAGAGCTGACCCCAACCAAAGTACCTCCCCTCTACAGCCTCCTGGGCTTCGCACTCAGATTGGCTACAGCTTCCAAACAGTCTCCTGTCTGTGAGTGGCCAAGACAGAGGCTGCACCCCTGTAGACCCGGCCGGGACGATCCATGCTGTAGCGATCTCCAGAGGCTGAGATTGCTGCAACTCGACACTTGTAGCCTCGAGCTGTGATCTCACAAGTGCTTCGGCTGGCCCAGAACGGAGAAGCTGATAGCCACCTGACTACAGCTCTGCTCCTCCACAATGCCTCACTGCTTCTCAGCCTCCATTTTGGTCCGCATGCCGTAAAATGGCTAAACTCTCTCCCCGCCCCGAGATCCTCTGAGGGCACAAAGGATTGTGGGATTTGGACAAAACAGGTGTGTGTACTTCGGTCTGTCTGCCCATCCCTGAACTCTGTCTCCTCCAGGGTACCCCTCTCTCCAAGAGATGGTCTCTCTCACCCTTTCACTGTGCTACCTTTGCTCCCCTGAACCAACTGTACCACCCCACATCCTCCCCACAACTTCATACCCAGGCCGGTGGAGAAGCCAGCACATTCCCCGGCAGGTGGAGGGAGCTGGGATTCCTGCCTTCGGCTCGTGCTGTGCTGCTGAGCAGAGAGGCCTCATCTCCAAGCAACATGCTGTGATGGCCGCCATCTCAGCCAACACACCAGGGACCTGCGGAACTAAGAGCGCATGCTGCTACAGCCTGAGCTGAAGAACCAAGGCTCCGCAAAACGGGCTGGAACCGACTCCTGTCCTCTGAGAGATCTGTGGCGTACAATCACCAATGGGCAACAACTGCTTCTCAGTGGGGTGGGAGGGGGAAATCAGTGGCCCCACAGGGAAGAGTGCCCTTGCGTGACCTCCTGCTACCCCTGCGCTCATGAGAAGGGTCTGCCAAGTCGCCACCATCCCCTGGGGGTTGGAAACCCTGCGGAAAGGGCATAAAGGGGATAGATGGGGTAGAAATGGAGGAGAAGGGAGAGGAGGGCTTGGTAGGCCAGCAAACCCAGGAGGATGGCTCGGCAGCAGCTCACCTGGAAGCCAGGCATAAGGAGCCAGGGCAGGAGATCCTGCCCTCCATCACTCCCCTCTTCATGCGGACCGGACAGCCGGTGCAAATCTGGAAGGGAAACAGGGTCAGGGACCAGACCCAGCGGGTACCTTAGGGATCAAACCCCTCAGCTAGAGCCCACCGCCGCTCCCACGAGGAGTGGGCCCTGCTGGAGCACAATCAGCCCCATTAGCAGCCCCCAAGCTCCAGCCACTTGGGGAGCAGTTCCCTCTCCTCCTTCTGGAGCTCCTCTGTCGAGGAGGCGCATCCCTACCCTGGGACCACCTGAACTGGGTCTGGGAAATAGTCTAGTCACTGTACATCTGGCAGCTACCGGCAGCTCCCCACAGCTCTGCTGGTGCCCCTCGATCCTGACCCACAGCCCCCTGCCATCCCAGTCCTGGGCTCCGTGCTGCCCCACAACCCTGCCAGTGCCCCTCAATCCCGACCCACAGCCCTTTTCGCATTTGTTCTTCTCGCCTGCTTGCATCCATTGCCTGCCCCACTCACCGCTTCGGCCAGGGCGATTCCCTCCGGGGCCCTGGGGCTGCAGACGGGGATTCAGCCCCTTTCCACACAGGCTGCAGGGAGTGACTCCGAGGCGAGCCCAGGGGGGCTGGCACAGGAAGGTCCCTGGGTTATTGCGTCCCCATTTCAGATCACTTCCTGCTTCTCCCCCCCCGGCTTGGGGACCCAGGGGGAATAACCCCTAAATCCCCCCCCCCCCCCCCGTTGTCAGCCGCGAAAATGAATCGCCCCCAAAATTCACACTCACGAGAGGAGCTTAAAAAACATGTGACCCGGGTGAAAAATCAGGAGTGGTTTAGAAATCACGTGACCTGGGTTCACTCGCATGAGACTTACTCAAAAGTAATAACCCGGGGCCGCGTGCTGAGTGATGAGCATTTCTGGGGGAGCCCCCACCCCTCACCCCCAGTCTGGGCAGAAACCTTCAGGATCACAAATCCGACGTTCAATGCACAGCTACAAGGTGGGGTTTCCTGCTGGCTGCTTGCAGAGGAATCCGCTTAGCCATTGCTAATCCCAGTGGGGTGGGGGGCTCAGGAGGGGGCACTCTCCCCTCCCAGTCAGTGCTGGCCCCAATGCCCCAGAGCCGCACT